TTCCCACGATGTAACACGTGTGGCAATTCACTCACGTGTTGCTTCATCTATCGTTTACATGGGGATTCCACTACAGAACAGGCCGAGCCCCATGACCAGGTGCCCGGTCGAGTCCAGCATCGGCCCGAGCTCCGTGCTGAAGTCCACGCGATACGAGGGCGGCGTGTCGAACAGCCGCAAGGCCACCGGCGGCGACTTGCCCGACCAGCCGATGTCCGCCAGGTCCATGATCAGCGGATTCTGCCCGGGCCCGGGGAAGAGCAGGACATGGCCCGGCTCCGTGCCCACCGGCGGGATAACCGGCCGGCCGGTGGCCGGATCCACGCGCAGCCGCGTGGGCCCGACGCCGGTGACCTGCGTCTCGGGCACCGGCCCGGGCAGGGTCTCCCGGCCGATTGTCCCGAGCTGCACCCTGTCCAGGCGCATGGCCGTCGGCAGGCACACCCCCGCACGCCGCGTGTAGCTCCCATGGCAGTCCGACACGCAGACCATGCTCCCGCCAGGGCCGCTGGGCTGCAACACCCGCGAGCCCTTGCACACAAGGCAGTCGCTGGCGTCGCACGTGTGGCAGGCGCTGTCGGCGCAAGGCCGACACACATGCCCGGGCGAGGAGAACGGCGCCTCGCCTTCACGCGGCGCCCTGGGGGGGGGGGGGGGGGCACGGGCGGCCCGCCGCCCAACGGCCGACCCCCATACCTACGGGTCAGCTGCTGGCCAGAACACAGGAAGTCCCCGCGCGGGGGCGCGAAAAGGGAAAAAATAAGACCGAACCCCCGGCTCATCTGCCGGACGCACCCTCCGGATGGTCCAGATAATGGCCCACCGCACAGGCGGCACACAGCTGCCCGGGCACGAGGTACGGCCCGGGCACGCGATTCTCCGCGCATGCCCAGCCCTCGCTCGACCCGGTCAGCCCGCCCGGCCCGTCGCACACAATGCTCCCATCGATGCCGCAGCCGAAACGCCCGGACTCCAAGAGCGCCCGCTGGTCGGCCATCAATGCCCACTCGCCGGCCGGCGCGGCCGCCAGGCTCCTTTGCAGGCGGACCAACTGCAGGTTCTCCGGCGCCCGGGAGCCCGGCGGCACGACCAACCGCCGCCAGACCAGCTCGCCGGGCAGGACCCGGGCTCGCCACAGGTCCATGGCTCCGGCCTCGGCACCGGGGCCGGGCTGCACGAAATACAAGAAGGGATAGGTGTCCTGGAGGCTCGGCGCCTCGGGCGGGGTCACGAGGCGCCCCGCGGCCGTCGAGGCCCCGGCCGGCAGCGACGCGGTGAAGGCCGCCCCGGCGCCCGGCACCGGCTCCGCCTGCCCGGCGCACGGGATAACATGCACACGGTTGCCGGCCATCAGGAGCACGACATCCCCCGCGCCAGGGCACTCGTCCGCCGCCGAGACCACCCGCGTGGCGGACAGCTGCCGGATGAGGCCCAAATTCGCCGGCACCGGGATCGTTTGCACGGTGGCCGGGCCGCCGGACGCCCCGGCATGGCGGACGTGCCACAATGCCCGGCCGGCAGCCAGGTAGAAGGTACGCCCGGGCCCCGGGCCGGCGAGGGCCACCTCCCCGGCCGCCACCGGCATCCCAAAGGACACCTGGTCCAGCCCGGCCGCGGTGAGCTCCCACAGGTGCACCTCCCGCGGCCCGCCCGGCGGCTCGGTCAGCCCCAGCAGATCCACATGGCGCGCGCCGAGCGCATGCCCGGCCAGCAACCTCACCGGCCCGGTGGGGAAGTCCCTCGAGGTACTTTCATCGAACAGGCAGGCCCACTGGTCCGTGTACAGAACGCCCACCGGGAACTCTGCCCCCGCCAGTGGCAGGACCATCCGCTGGGGCGTCACCCCGGGGGGGATCCTCATGTGCGGATCGAACGTCCACTCCCACGAGAAGAGCGTTCCCCAGCGGGTCTCGTCCGACACCTCCAGGTAGGTGGTTTGGTTGTACAGGCGGGACCCCTTGATGTGGGTGTCCACCAATTGCGACGGGCGCCCGAGGGTGGTCACGGCATTTCCATACGTCCGGTCCCCATGGCCTTGGTACCATGTGGCGTGGAGATACAAGTCCGGCACGGTGGCCCGGACCCCGGCAGGGGCATCTGCCAAGAGGCCCGCGAAGAGCAGCCCCATGCTCAGCAGCAGCCGATAGGGGACCGCCGCGGCTCGGCGTCGCCGGCCCGGGCGCTGGACCATGGTATTGGCGAAGCACCACACGAGGCCACCAGGACCCGGGGAGAAATGGAAGCCCCGAAGCGCGGGATGTGGAGAGGGGGAAGAGGGGGGGGGGAGGGCAGGGAAGAAAAGCAGGCCGACGATTTACTCGGGCGCGGAGGCGGATGGAAAGAGGTTTGCCTCCACTTGGAGCCGGCATCGAGCACACACTTATAGCTCCTTTCGCGGGGGCCGGAAGCCGCCGGGGAAGGAGGCACCACGCGAGCTTGATCCCCCATGCCCCCATCCCTGGGCATGCACTCGGGAACCATGACAGGCGCCCCATCGCCCGCCGCCACCTCGCCCCCCTCCTCCACGGGGAGCCCCCCTTCGAGCAGATGATCCCCTTGATGATCGGCCCGTGGGCGTGCGCCTGGCGCCGCATCCGGGGCTTCGAACAACTCTTAGACAGATATCCGCACTCGCGCTCGTGGATCTCTGGGAACCACCCCGGCCACTCGTGTAAACAAACCGAGATCCGCGCCGGCAGCCTCGGGGGACATGCAGGCACACACACACACACACGCACACACGCACCCTGCATGGTGATGATGCGGCCCGCCTCGTGGCGTCGCGTTGACCCTCGGGTCCGTGATCTCGCCGGCTGCCCGGCGCCCGTGCCCCTCCCTGTGGACGAGGCATGGCCACCTGTTGGCTGCTCTCTGCCCTTGGCCCGAGCACTCGCCGCCACGTTGGCACTCCGTGGCATGAGCGGTGGATGCGCGCCCGGGCCGCCGGGAGCGCCCGCTGGCCCTCGCACAGGCAGCCGGCCGCCCAACTGACCGCCCTCCTCCCCTGAGATCCGCCCGCAGGCCGGACCCCTCGGCGACGGGCGGCCTAACACCCTCCAG